ATGTGAACACAGCCAAGTATTAAAAATCATGCGTAAGCTATTATGGCACCAACTCTTGCCATATAAATTAATATCCGCCCTGAAATAAATACGACATCAACTTAAAAATCTACCAAGAATATATAATAAGATGAACTGGCTCTATCCTAGATATTTCCCTTAACTAACACAACACTTATAACAAAATACCTAATTTTTACAAAAGAAATTGTTACACAAATTGACGAATTATTAGGTATGTTATTGATATTATTTTCACATAAAGAGATAGTAACGTTTCTGGCCCACGATTCAAGCCTCTTGAACATAAATGTTTACTATTGTTTCACATCCAAAGTTTTGATAGCTTTTGTATATTTATACGGTTTAACCGTGTTATTTATCAATTCGAATTTTTGTAAGTGTTTTAAGCTGGATGCGAATGCAGGCGTGGGTGTAGAACACAATGAAGTAGCTTGGGTAGTTTTTTACAGAATAATTCAATGCATTTATAAAATAATATAAAAAAGTGTATATTACGGGCTCTATAATGCTTATTACGTCACACCTGACGATCTTAGTTAAGTAGTGTCGGTAGGAATATAATAGAATAATATGACACCAATAAACAAAGGTGCTATTTTAAGGCAAGAATTAATGTTGAATTAATTTAGATTACAGCTTTAAACAATTGTTGTTTTTGGTCATTACTTGTATACCAACAGAAAACAGCTGGATTTGATTTTCAGCCATAAAAACGTCCTATTTCTTGTTCTTTTAGGCTTAAACTGGCGATCGGTGCAACTGTCCAGTGCCCACTCACTGATCATGCTATAGTTCCATTAGTTCAATTGACAACACTGAAAGAAGACTTCAAGAACATTGTGGAATAACCAACAAGTATTGTGTAATTGTCTGACCCCACTAAAAGTTTTGCATCTATTATTCATTTTATTTTAATTGTCTTTATTTGCTCGTATATTTATTATCAATCTTCTGTAGAAGTCAACCACAGTGGTGTTGTGACACTAGAAAATTAACACAAGGCCCATGCCTGTGTGCTACTAAACTTAAATAATTTGCGAACAGTGTTGTAAACGGTGTTTTCTAGCACTTAAAGATCCGCATGCCCCACTATCACAAATTTAAGGAACGTTAGTAAAGGATTGGCATTATCTTTTTACACACAAGGTGTGTGCAGAACCTGATAAGATGAGGGCAAATTAAAGTTTTGTTGTTTAGTGATATCCACTTTTGTAGCTTCAATGTGGAAAAAAAATATTTTTGATCAAAACCATATATAGCTTTGACATCAATATTCATAGTTTGACTTAATGTGTTTTTTGTTTTAAAAACAGCTTCAAAAGAAAACAACTAGTATTTTAGGATATATCTATTTTTTTTATATTGCATTTTTCGTAACTGCTCAAGTACATAAACGTAATAAGAAATATTGCTTCCATTTTCTTTTTTTGTAATTTATGTTTCATGAGTTTTTTATGTGGTTTTATTTGTAACTGTTAATTGTTTTTTTATACCTCTAAGGAAAATTCGTTTGAATATGGTTTTATCGTCCTGGTAAGAGAGTTAGGCAATTTATAAATAAACTATGCATAAACTATGTTAAAACAGCTTATTTTAAGAACACGGTTACTTATAAATATGTCTTAAGATTTCCCAGATAAATTTAATGATTTATTCGCAGGTCAAATAATACATTGTAAACATCTAGTGCAGCCAAGATTTTTAACACCCAGTACCTTAAATTAATATGGACAATACTTTGTTTTTGTCCTTATCAAAAGTACAGTAACTATTTACAACTACAAAATGACTATCAAATTCAAAAAGATACTTACTTAAGTAAATCAAATATGTTATATAGAGTATTAATTACAGTGTAGAGACAGAGTAGATTTTGTTAGATCCAAAACATTGATTGGACGATGGTTTAGGTCCACCAAATATCTGGCAGTCAATCACAAACAATCAACTATTTTGACTTTTTTGTTACTCAGAATATCTATTGTTTATTCCCTACAGTTTGTAATTTCTACAGAAGTGCAGGAATATCGGAATCTTGGACTAGGTTGTTTTTATATGAACAAGTGTCTTTAACCATACTTCGCAACACAAAGTCTAAGAACAGAATGATAATAATAGTAAAATATAACAGTACATTTTTATGTATTTAGAGGAAATTGAAGCATGATGCTTTTTGAGACTAGAAAGGCCATATTAGCTCCATCTTAAAAAGATAGGTGTCTCCTCCTTGGGTGTAAACCAAACTGTCTTTTAAAGACGTATTTTTAGTGTTTTCTGGTCTTTTAGATGGAAGAGGTCTTTTCTGTGTTGTTGGTCAATTAAACGAACCTGATTATGTATGTACATAATCAGACTCGTTTACTCCACTGTACAATTTAAGGGCAAGATCGATGTTCACTTTTGGCACAGTCGAAATAGCAAGTTTTTAGTAAATGCGTAACAACCGATCATAGGAACGCCTAGGTATTTAATTAGCTTCTTATGATTTCAAGTTAAATTTAATTCAAAGTAAAAATAGGATACCAAGTAGTAAAACAAAATCGATAATGTAGATTTATTATAATTTAATAAAAATGTATTCTATCATGGTTAATAAAACCATTGTCGAAAAAGAAATCAGTATGGTAACTAAAATTTCAACGGTTCAACAATACTGAAAACTTAATGAAGGATAAAAACAACAAGTAGGAACTGGATTGACACAAAGCTGTAAAGCCAGGATTAGACGACAACATTCTCACACCTGGCTCACTGTTGTTCAGGCGGGAGTAATTTATGGAGGAGGATTGTGTTGTTCCAGAAGTAATGTAATGAAAATACCTTGATAGAATGATAATGTCAATACTAGGTATTGTATTTTTTGACCAAGTACTGATAATCGGTGTATATTTCCCGTGATATAAATATGTTCGTTTACTTGTATTCTAAACTTTGCGAAACACCTACTGAAGAAAAGATATAAGAAAGACAAATCTATTATAGAAAACTATGGGGAAAATTATGAGAACTAACAAAAGAGAATATGAATACAAAATAAAGTATGTTATTGTAAATGGTAGACCCGTCTTAAATAGTACATATACAATTTTATAATATTACGCTTCTGAGTAAATCGGTGTACTATTCTAATTATTCTGTTTTAAATTAAAAAAAAAAATACTTTTCAAACTCAAAACAAAGGCTCAAATATACTTCGAAAGTAGCGAAGAAAATATATTTTAAAAAACAAGATATAAAAAAGATTTGTGCAGTATGTGCTGGCAGAATTAGTTTTGTTTCGATCATTCATTAAAAAAATAAACTTTAGTCAATGCATCGTAATCAAGTGGTAATAAAGTAGTGTGGTATTGTTAAAACAAATAGAAATTTATTATTAAAAGTAAATTCATTATAAATATTTATAACATTTCAAGAATAAAGGATAGTATGTATGCTAATGAATATTTAACAGGTAAACAGAATAATGTCGGGAAAAGTTAATATGAATGTTTAAAAGAACAGAAGTGCCCTCTTATTATTTGGTAAAAGAGAACGTGTAAGTTGCAAAATTTCACCCTGTCATGAAATATAACAAGAGGCTTGGTGTGGTTTTATTAAATTCTGTTTGTCTGCAGTTGTAATACAGAGTGGCATTTTTTCACTTAAATTAGTTTGCAACAGAATTTATTATTAGAAATGAAAGACTTTAATTTAAGCATGTTATTAATCTAATGTGTTTGAAAATTGTCTTTTTAACTCGATAGAATTGACACAATAAATCTTTCTTGTTAAAACGAACTACACGTTGATCACTAATCGTTCTAGTTTTATTAGAATTTTTGTAGCTTAGTATTTTTTTTTTATTTGTCTTTAAAAAAAACCAAGTCCAGGTTTGAATGAAATATGAATAAATGCTTTTACACGTGTACTTTAGAGCGTTTTATACAAACAGTAAATGATTCTAAACTAATTTTTTTATATTATCATCCTTATATTCTGATTCACATGCAATTGTGTATGAATGAAGTTTGTATTTGAGGAATATGAAATTTATGGTAACTGACAAAAAACGGTATAAGCAATCTGACACATACTTTCTCCCAAGCTTGTCAACTACCTTTATCATGGATAAGCGGTGGGAGTAACTATGATAATTGTGGAAGACAATGGGGGTTGTGTTATTTTTTTCGAATTTTAAAGACCATAACACATTATTTTAATCAAAACCGTGTTTTCCCAAAATCCGAAATTTGTTTTATTTTTTATTTTTTTAGGATTTTTATGGGAAAATAACATAAATACAATATCTTTTGAATCATAATTTTTACGGAAATAGGATTTATATGATTTTGTTAAGAATTTAAAGGACTATAAAATACTAATTTTTTATCAAATTCCTATATATTCCTGTATATTTCTTTATTTTATGGGTTTTTATGGAAAAATACTCATTAAAAAATCAAAATTAAAAAAAAGAAAAAACACACCTAGAGATACCACGGATTAGTACCTACGTTCAGTACTGAGTTTCTTCAAAATCGTACTACAGGTATGGTCTGTAGTTCTGTACGCATCTATTCACACACATACAAACACACCAGACATAACTTTGAAAACCAGCTTTTTGGTTCCAGGGGACCGCAAAATGGTAATCCACTCAAAACAAACACTCGAAAATTTTGACGAAAACAATACTTTTTCCATCGTCTATTGCATAGGGCGAGGAAAGTAAAAAAAATCTGTCCCCTAAATTACCATTATTGACGAAGTTGGGATGCAAATAAGTGTATATTTATGCCATTTTGGGGTTATGCAGAGATTGGATTTGCTGGTGTCATCCAAAAGTGAATTAGGGTCTCCATACTTTTGCCCGACTTTTATAAGGAAATTCGCTACCAAAGTTATTAACTAGTGAGCAAAAGCTGTTTGCACATATGGAATGTGTAATTATGTTCAACTAGCGCCATTCATTGTTGTGACGCCATTGTGGAGGTCGACAAGGTGGTCGACCTTGATTATTTTACATCACAATACCGTTCGGCGCTCAGTGTCAAGATGACTCCAGCCTTGCTCACTCCGAGTGCCTACATCCTGACTGTGTTGTTAGTTGGTCCTGCTGCCGCGTAAGTCGAACATTATTTTATGTTAAGATATTGGATGAGAATTGAGTACGGTATTGGTGGGTGTTAGAATTGGTTGCTATATTATTTTCTTACTAATTGCAGTGCATCTATAATCAGCCTGATTAATATATTAACAGCAGTTTTTGTATTTCTAGATGTGCAATAAAAACGATTTAAACCCATAACGTTGAAAACACAATATCTAGTAGTTTTAATTCAAACCATGAAACCAAATGTCTTCCAAATGGTGTAACGCGGATGTATTTTTTTATTCTATATGTTTTTATATACAATGATTAAACGGCAGTTTTATATACATTTGAGGCATAACCTTGGAAAAATTGAAAGCTACTTTCCACAATAATGATGAGTACAAAAATACACCCGCCGCAGCCAACCTGCTGACTAAGCGAATTTCAATTTTTCTGTAGTGAAATAACATGGGCTTATTAACGAGTCCCTAGGTTTGCTGCTACAAGGAAACTAATAAAGTGTGTTTTTATTAAAATACTACGATTGCTTTTATGCAGTGAAAGCCAGTTGAGTGGAGCAATTAAGTTTCATGGTTTTTAACTAAACAATAAATGAAAAAAATATAATTATAAATACAAATTAAAAATGTTCCCACACTCTGCTTTACTAGTCTTTATTACTTGTATCACCACTTCCTAAGTCTTAGGCCTGTCCCCCCCCTCCCATAGCATTTTAGGATTGCAGATACATTAATCTAAATGCCAAAAACTGTTTCCACACTCTGCACTGCTACCCTTCAATACTTCCTCTACCACTTCCTAAGTCTTAGGCTTGTCCGAGGGTGGCCTCCCATGGCATTTTTAATTGCAGATACATTAATCTAACTGCCACATACAGTTTCCACACTCCATGCTGCTTGCCTTTACTACTTCCTTCACCACTTCCTACGTCGTAAACTTGTTTCCCTCGCTTCCATACTGTTTTGTATTGCATACATTAATGTAACTTCCACCAATGTAAGCATTGTTGTATGACTAATAGTTACGGAGAAAATTCAAAAAAGTGTAAATTTAAAATACCCACTAAGGAAGAATAAATACACTGCTGTGGTTTGCTTGTTTATGAACATATTTTGGTAAAATTTAGAACATGAATTTATTGCTTACTTAACTATTAACATTAAAAAACACTTTTATACCTGTTGCAGCAAACCTAACTAGTCCTAGTTGTTATCTAATTATATTTAGGGAATAAATGTGATGTTTTTAACGTGTCATTTTGGTGTAAATCCAATCAGGCAAATGGAAATTAGCTTAGTATGCAGATTTGCTGCGGCGAGGGTATTTTATTATTTACTCTGACATAATTTTAATTATATCATCGTGTTTGGTATATTGCCCAAGTAGAATCAAATATTTTTTTGTGTTTTCGTTTTACAAGAAAATATCTAATTCGCATAAGAGTGCCATATTAAGGACAAATTTCAGAATGCATTCTCGAAAACGGCCTGATATAAAAAAAAAATAAAGACGAAAAATAAACCTGCGAAACACATGAAAAACTATTTCTGGCGATGTTTTGAAATAGTTGAATACTTGAAACCATGCTTTTTGTAATTATGTGAAATTTACAAGATTTAAGTAAACAAACCTCATGAGGTATGATGACAACTGTATAATTCTCTCAAAGCAGGCAAGTCTTTAAAAAGGTTACATCTGCTAATCGTATGGATCCATGCAGGATTATTTCTGTCTGAACTGCAAAATCTGGCCAAGATCGAGGAAATGTTGATTGGTTTAGGTTCAAGGTCGGGTTCAACCAGATGACATTAGCAAGCAAACACAGGAAAATACCGATACAAACTATATGTATGTAATGTCCAAATCTGTATTAATGAAACTTATTATAGATGTTGATACTTTTGAGCGAAACTGATATGATAAATTGGGGAAATAGGTTGAAAATACTAGTTATGAAATAGTATTTTGTATTAAATCTAAACATTTTATTTATTTAGTGATTTATCGAAACCACAAAACTTGATTTCTCCGCTTAACCGGCTTCCACTACTGTGAAATCAATCATAGAAACTATTCTGGATCATCAGCATCGATCAGGATTTTCCATAAAAGTTAGAAATATACTATTATTTTCCCTTATACCTTTCAGGAAACTCTGGACTTACCAAAACAGTATATGGAATTAATTGCAATACTAACTATGGTGAATATGAAAACTACTACATTTTAAGTAATAATCTTCTTTGCTGCAAATCATAATGTATGCATAGTAATAAACTAAATAGAATTACTATGGTTATGATGCTACAAAAACTGCGCAATTGTTGCTTATCCATTGCAAATGGTTAATTGATGTTTTTTCTCTATACTATACTCTTCTTTTGTTGCATGATTGTGTCAATGTGGGGACAATACTCAACTGCTAATGCCAGTATATTTGCAATATTTCTTACATTACTTAATATTCATTATGGATTTTCCTTGTTATTTGTTCGTACTACGTTACCATACTTTAATGTCGAACACACATTAAAGTGGCAAACATTCGGCACTCATTTGAATGATGAAAGAAGAAATAAAGAATATACTCTGAAGTTGGTAATCTATATCATAAATATGTACAATCTATATTTAACACCCTACAGGTTTTTTTCTCCAACCATTTGAGAGAATTGCTGGGTTTAGAAACCTGGTAGAGGTGTATCAAGAAAGGTCTTGGTCTGTAGATGAACTATAAAAAGAAAAACGATGTGAACTCCCTTGGGGCTCTGCCCCAGTGTCTTTTTTTATGTTCGAGAAATCTAAAACAGCTATTAATATTAAAAATGTATTTAAAAGATAACTTTTATAAGCATTTATAACATTTATCAAATTGGAATATTTACATCGTTTTTACTATCTACTGCATAGGCCTGATATGTTTTTAATAGTTTGAAAGACATTTATGAGATATTTTCACAGTTTTTATGTTACAAATCCATTTGAAACACCTAAATATTATAATACCAAAATATCCGAAAGAGAAATTATCGGAACTAAACTGCCATACAAATGTTATTATTTAAGATAAACACCTCCACTGAAGAAAACCTGCTGACTAGTCGAATTTCCATTTGTTTGATCAAAAGATGTCCATGGACGAGCAAACTGCATTTTATAATATTCTCCATGAATTATAACATGGGGAATTTTAGATTTACTATTTTTGAATTTTCTCTGTAACCAATATGAATTTGAATGGAGTGTGTTTTTGGCCTCTGGGGAACTCAAAACGAAATAGTTAATAAGTCCCGGGTCCAGAACTTACCGTAAGTACTACGGTAAGTTGAGTATTACTCAAATGACGAGGTTTTCTCTCCCGATCACTGAAACGTCGTGACCGGCCGTATTTCCTTTTCACGACAACGTCGAGGCTATCTCTCGTGTTCACTCAAACGTTGAGGTCATCTTTCACGATCACTCCAATGTCATGGTCATCTCCATGATAATGTTCGACGTAATTATTACAAATGCGTAGATTTACAGATGAATTTATGTATGTGTGTTTGTCATAAAGAAGCCATAATAGGCTTTTAATTTGGATCAAACCCATGAGTATAATATTTAGTCTTTGCATTTGTGCAACTATAGCAAATATCAAAATGGAGTATTTAAGATGTCGTATTGCTGAAGGGGGTATCGACAAAATTGATACAACATTACAACTGTTTATATACAGGGTGGCTGAAAATTAACTTGCACCCCCTTTACTTTCCAACCATTTGAGATATTTGAAATCTGTTTGCGGCAACCTTCTTAGATATGAGGGGCTACAATAGTTACAGTCAATTTTGAAAATGTTGCCCTTAGTAGTGGGGGTAGGGGGTAGCTCAAAATTTTCAAATAACAAGTATAGTCGAGTTTGGTATCATTTTACAGGTCTTGACGAAACATAAAAATTGACATAAAGAAAACCAAAATCGGCTGACTAATAACAAAATGGAGCCTTAAAACGTTTCAAATCCAAATAACCATGAGGGTGGCTGAAAATTAACTTGCACCCCCTTTAGCTTTTTAACTATTTGAGATTTTTGAAATCTGTTAGCGGCAACCTTCTTAGATATGAGGGGCTACAATAATAATGGTCAGTTTTGAAAATTTTGGCCTTAGGGGTAGTTGGGGTAGGGGGTAGCTCAATATTTTCAAACAGCAAGTATAGTCGAGTTTGGTATCATTTTACAGGTCTTGACGAAAAATAACAATTAACATAATGAAAATAGAAATCGGACCATTAATAACAAAATGGAAGCTAAAAATTATTAAAACATTGATCATTAAAAGTAATTTTGAACTGCCATTTTGTTATTAATGGTTCGATTTCTATTTTCTTTGTGTAAATTTTTATGTTTTGTCAAAACCTGTAAAATGATACCAAACTCCACAATACTTGCTATTTGAAAATTTTGAGCTACCCCCTACCCCAACTACCCCTAAGGCCAAAATTTTCAAAACTGACCATTATTATTGTAGGCCCTTTATATCCAAACAAGTTGCCGCAAACCGATTTCAAAAATCTCAAATAGTTAAAAAGTTAAAGGGGGTGCAAGTTAATTTTCAGCCACCCTCATGGTTATTTGGATTTGAAACGTTTAGGGCGCCATTTTGTTATTAGTCGGCCGATTTTGGTTTTCTTTATGTAAATTTTTATGTTTTGTCAAGACCTGTAAAATGATACCAAACTCGACTATACTTGTCATTTGAAAATTTTGAGCTACTCCCTACCCCCACTACCCCTAAGGACAAAATTTTCAAAATTGACCATAACTATTGTAGCCCCTCATATCTAAGAAGGTTGCCGCAAACAGATTTCAAATATCTCAAATGGTTGAAAAGATAAGGGGGGTGCAAATTACTTTTCAGCCACCCTGTATATTGAATAATTATATTCTTAAATTACTGTATAACTCATTTGGCTTCAATTTCAAGTGCCTATAGCATGTTACCACCCAGTAGCACGGGTGGGCAAAAAAAAATTTAGAATAGTTTAATAAAGCCACATAAAACAAACATTAAAATTAAATTTTTAGGCTTTGTAAATTAAGAAAATTCTCAAGGGAAGGAACCGTGACCTGAAGCAATGAATACAGTGGTTTTTATTCATTGCTTGAAGGGAGATTCTATAACCCTACGGTTCGTGTTGAGCCGCAGCCCAGAGGTGCCAATGCCGATTGACATTTGCCCCATGTGCCAAGAGACATTGTCACGTTACTGGTCTATATTTACTTATAATGGGAAACATACATGCAATATGAAAAGAATGCGATGGAAAAAACCTGCAATATGAAGATAGTGTATCTTTTTATCATGGGCTGTTTCTTTATTCTATTTTGGCCAAATTGTAGCCTTGAACTTGAATGTCACTGTAGCTGTCAATATGTGCAATGATTTAAATCCCTTTTGGAACTGTGTAGATGTTTCAGTTTCAAGTCTCCCCACGAAAGCCCTGTGCTGACCAGAGTCACGGAGCCTGTGGACCACGGAGAGGGTCCTCACTGGGACCCGACAGAGCAAGTCCTCTACTATGTCGACATCTCGGGCCAGGCACTTCACAGATATGACCCGGCCACCAAAACTGACACCTCGCTGAAACTTGGTACTGAACTGCCATTATTGTAATTAAGAACAGTGTACTTATATATATATATATATATATATATATATATATATATATATATATATATAATATGTATATATATGTATATATGTGTTTGTATATATATATATATATATATTGTGCGTATATATGTCGTACGGCAGCATAGTGTACGGTAGCATAGACAAAATTGTTCAAAATAAATCATAATCATTACAATCTTTACCACAGGTAAGGAAAGTATATTAATGTAATAACTGTGAACAAGTTAGAAGGAATTAAAATTGAAATTTAAGTATTTAAAAGTAAACAAGTTAGCAGAATTCAATCGTAACATCTACTCATTATTACAATATCCCTCTCATTCAGTTTTACTCTATCTTATTTCTATAGTCTGTTTACAAAATGTAGCCGGTTTTAGGGGAATAATTCTACCCCCTCCACTTGTTCCTACCTTTAAAACAATAGCTTAATAGCTGAGATTTGCCAAAACGTCCATCGGCTGTAACATATACTTGTTTATTTTCTAAAAAAAAAATAATAAACTCAACAAATTAATAAATTAATTTTAAAATCTACTATTAAATAAAAGTGAAACATTGAGTTGGCGCTAGTGCACTCAAACGTTAACAACATGAAACACAGCATGGTAATTACACTATAATCTAAATAACAAGACGGAGGAACACTGTTAAAAACGGAACAAAGCTGAAGAGATACACTAATAAACTAGTGGAATCCTTAGGATATGATCATTCATAATGATTCATAATGATAAAGCTTGTAAAATATAACACTGAATACCATACTACACAGGTCAACGGGTTGCTATTTGTTAAATCAATTAAGATTTTTTGGTACCTCTGTGACTTAAATTTCAAGAAATAAATATAAAGATCAATTCCTGCAATTTCTTAGGATCTATCCGTGTTTTACAGACAAACCCGTGGCTCTTGTGGTGCCAGTAAAAGACGAGAGGAACAAGTTTGTGGTGGGACTGGGCCGGGACTTGGTAGTCTTGACATGGGACTGGAACTCTGGAAAACACCAAATCTCCACCCTAGCCTCTGTCGACCAACACGAGACCGGCAACCGCTTCAACGACGGCAAGGCCGATGCGAAGGGCAGAGTTTGGGCTGGTAATAAACAAATAATATAAATGATTGATAAAAGTGCATGAGATATTAAATAGTGAAAGGCTCGGTACAACTTTTAAATACACCTTCCGCAACAAACCTGCTGACTAAGGCAATCTCCATTTGCATGACCAGATTTTGACTGAAACATTCCCTTAAATATGTTTAATTATTCCACATTCAAATGAGATTAGGTTTTCAGTGTGTACGCGTACGGTACATAGGTTTCCTGCTACAAGGAATGTCATAAAGGCTAAAAGAGTGACCAAAGCTATCGCTGGGATTCCATCACCTTACATCCTGAAAGTCGGCTCCATGATGGTATGGCTCCCTCCTAACCGTAGAGTAACTCATGACGGTAATGAATGCCAGCAGGTTGCTGAATCTGACACACCTAAAATTGGATGGGTCAATTGCAGCGCAGATGGGGGTTGGTTGTCCACTATGTTTTCGCTGCCTAAGATTTGTTGACTCCTCCTGAAACTGTAAGGAACTCGACCAAGCCAAGAATAGTTATCGGTATGGTGGTTGTCTAAAATCTGCTACTGGAAAAACTCTGCTGCTGCACAGTTTTTATGATTGTAGACTAATACAATTAGAAAAAAAACTGTGTAGCAGCTGAGTATTGCTTACTTTGCGCAGAGAAGGTTTATAGAGCCAATAATGCAATCCGTTCTAATCTTATCTTACTAATATTATAAATGTGAAACTTTGTGTGTTTGTTTGCTTATAGTTCAATCACACATTAACTACTAGTTGCATTGGGCTGAAATTTTGTATGGTGATAGTTCACATTCCTGATTAACATTTAGACATATTCTTATATCAAAAATCCTTTCCGGCTCCACCCCAGTGGCTGGAGTTGATCACAACAAGTATTTAACTTATATAGTGTACCACACTACACCACTAAACATAGCGAATCTAGGATCAATGTCGGTAATAACCTTTGTTTTCCACTACAGGTACAATGGGACCCGAGAAGCCAGTGGGCAACGTGCTGCCTGACCGAGGCACGTTATACCGCCTGGACAACGACCCCAGCAAGCCTTGTGTAGCTGATGTAGAGATACGACCTGCGACCATCAGCAACGGCCTCACCTGGAGTCTGGACAACAAGATACTCTACTACATAGACACACCCCTACGCAGAGTGGACGCCTTCGACTTTGACCTGGAGAATGGACAAATTTGTAAGCCTAATTTGATATATTAAGTGGATTATAGTGCCAAATTAGTTTGGTGAAGAACATAATACAGGATGACTAAGTAGCCTATAGATTGCTTAATATATATCTTTGTTTTCTTTTTTTATGTGTATTTTATTTAATATTCAATTAAGTATTTTTTATGTAGCTGACTTTCTTGTCCGGAACAAATTTTGCAATCAATTTTGAACTAACTTCCCGATGAGCTAGAGACTCGAAACATAGCTCACAAATAGATGACATCATAGCGCGGTTTTTGATATTTCATTTTCAAATTTCCCTTGGGCTAAGCCCCATGGGCCTCCAAATTTTCCATTTTGAAAGAATGTAAGTATATCAATTGAAGTCAGCTGTACTTAAATTTGACAGTTCGAAGAGCAGAGGTTAAGAGGTACAGGTTCTGCTCCCAAGATATTCTAAAATAAAACAAGCATTTCAAAGTAACGATAAAACATCTGATCACAGATAATAAGGGTTTTGATTATTTTATGTATTAACAGGCCATATAAAATAGAACATTTTTACACAATAAATACTTAAAAGTAGAAAATAATTTATGTGGAGAGAATAAATACTTTTAAAATTTAAAACGAAAAAAGTGGGGCTCATGCAATAGAGAAAAATAGTTCAAGAGGTGAAGATGATTGTAAATTAGCATGCGCCCCATGTTTTTCGTTTTAAATCTTTCAAGTAATTATCTCCACGTATTTATATATTTTTTGTGCGTTCAAAACGTGGCATTTTGTAAAAGGATTTCTATTTTTAAATTATAACGTGTAACGTTGCTTACGTCCGATTCATTATGAAAGGTAACTGTACAAGTTTTACATCTCGGCTAAAATTTGTTGATGAGCAGTTTATTAGTAATTGTTTGTAAAGACACCAACTAAATGATCATTTATTTTCATATGTATACATTTTCTGAATTGTCTAAGTCATTACGTTGGAACAGAAATAGTTTATTTCTAAAAATGCCCATTAAAGTAATTATATATAAGGGGAAATATTACAACTACTCAGTTCATTATGCAGCTATTGTGGCATTTTACAATCATAAACTTGTGAATAAGTCATAACCGTCAGGGGTAGACTAGTGGTGGATTATAAAGGTATTACAGAGTCCCTCTTGACCTGAACTGTGTTTTGGGACAAAACATTTACCCTTAAGTAACTTATTCCTGACTAAGTTGGCATAATATGTTAATAAATTATTATAAAAATAATACACAACATTCACGTTAAATCCAACATTCTATAACGTGACTCTTAATATTCAAAAGTCGATGGATTATGTCAACGAAAAATCACTTATTTATAGTAAGGATGTGGATCAAATACTGCTCCCGAGATATTCTAAACATAAAACAAACATTTCAAAGGAAAGCTAAAACATCTGATTACATACAAAAAGGTTTTGGTTATGTATTAACAGGTCATATAGAATATATTTAACATATACAGTTGAGACAACACTGAAAAATAATTTTTAAATAAAAATACTTTTTTTTAAATGCCACGTTTTCAAACGCACTAAAAAGTAAAATATGCAGAGAGAAATATGGTTGTAAGATTTAAAACAAAAAACGTGGCACGTATGCAATAATGTTTCATTAGGTGAAGATAATTGTAAATTAACATGCGCCCCACGTTTTTTTGTTTTAAATCTTACCAGTATTCTCTCCACATATTATACTTTTAAGTGCGTTTAAAAACGTGGCACATTTTAATTTATAAATTATTTTTCAATGTTGTCTGAACTGTTTGAATGAGTGAATAAAAAAAACTATTTCGCTAATAGGGTCTTCTTATTTAACAGTGAGCATCACACAATTATATAAGATTGGTAAAAGAGTAATGACGGTGCGATATTATCTGTGTACTGTTAGAACAACTGTTACAACAAGCGAGTTAAATACCTGCGATCATGTCTCCTTATTGACGCAGTAGCTGGAAAAGGAAATAATAGGTAGGTGAAAAATAGTACTCCTTACATATTATCAAAAAGCTAAGGACGTTGCTGACTATTATTTGTAAGTAATGGTATTCCCCGTCCCTACAAACTGACAATAATAAAAAAAAAATACTTTCTTTGAAGATTAAATCACCTTTAAAACAATTTGCTATATTTCCTAACAACAAAAGGATAAAATGATGCATTAAGAGCATTTAAAAAAAGCTCGGTACTGTTATAATTTATCTGTTTGAAACTGTGCATAAAAACATGTTATTTCATTCAACCACTCTGCTTAACTACTGTGAGTTAAAAAGCTACAATAGCATATCACTCATACACATTTAATCATACTTAGACTAAACTAACTACAGAACACCTACTAGTAAACTGTCCGATTAAAAGAATATTAAAATAAAAACTTATAAAATGTGCTTTCTCAGCTAAGCGAAGGACAGTCTTCGAGTTTGGAGAACTACCTGGCAATCCAGACGGAATGACCATTGACTCTGAAGGCAACCTTTGGATTGCATGTTGGGATGGATATCAGGTATATTATATTCCTTGGATATATTCACGACCACCTTCAACTCCAGGCCGCGGCCTTTGAAGTGGCAACATCGCAAGTAGGGTTGTAACAGCTGTTTTGTTTGGAGGCATTTGGGTTTTTTTTTATATGAAAGCTTGGCTACTGGGCTATGAAAATATTTACTGGGTTCTTTAAATGTACAACAATACATTTTAAATGTAAATATTGTTTTGCTTTTCAATTCTATATGCTTTATTTTCAATCTTTTAATGCATATGTGTTTGTATATTTAAATTTAAATGAATAAAAAGCTAATTAATGAGCTGGTGTCAGCTGTCTGCCATATTATCTTATGGGACGTATGGCACTAGACAACACTATTTGCAATTTTGCTAATTATACTAGTCCGTGGCCTTAAGTTAGAGGTATTCGTGGATTTATTATCGTAATTCTTGTTCAGTTGAATGGCTTATTGAATATTTTATATTGAAAATACTCATAACACGAATAGGGGAAAAAATAGCCAGGGAAATGTCAAACTCAGAAAATTAGCATAGGATGACATTTTTAATCTATAATGATTTACAGAACTTACCATAATTATGGTAGCTTCAGTACTTACAACACTAATCACAGCACCATGCAAACTTACCACCACATTTGTATAAACTATAAAACCAACTACTTCAATACTGGTTTTCCCGTTGCTCCCAGGTTATCAAGGTGGACCCTGTCAGTGGAGAGCTGCTACAGGAGGTGAAGCTGCCTGCTTCACGAGTGTCGTCTGTATCATGGGGAGGGCCGGCATTGGACACGTTGTATGTAACCACCATGAGGCTGGGTTTGACCCCAGAAGAGCTGAAGACACAACCTCACGCTGGAGCTGTTTGGCAGATCACCAACCTCCACACCAGAGGCACACTACAGCACAACGCTGTCATCGGGTGCAACCAATCATAAACAAATTTATATTTTTTCCATTAAATTATCTTTTTCAAGTCATTGGATATTTACTTGTATCCACAATCATTAATTGCCCTGTTATAGAAATTATTTCCCATACTAGGTTTATGCGTAAGTTATCATAATTATAAATTACTAGCTGGCACGACAGACGTCGTCCTGTCCTAATGTGGTTTTATATAAAATGCTTGTTCATTTTCAAGATCCTGGTTGATGTTCGTTCGCTACGCTCACTCACCTTTAGGTTGGAGATCGTTCGCTGTGCTCACTTGCCTTCAGGTTAGCTCGTTCGCTATAATAACTCGCCTCCAGGTTGAAGTTCGTTCGCTACGCTCACTCACCTTTTGGTTGCAAATTAGCTGTTGTCATAAATTACAGAACAAATAATTGTGCTGCACCCTGTTGATAAACTTATTAACTGTTTAATGCTGTTGAACATCACATAATCAAATTGCTTAGTCGAACAAGCTGTTAAGATTCTTTAATTTTTATTAAAATATGAGTACTCATAAGGTTAACATGGGAAACTCCAGAGCCACTGGGGCGGAGCCCTTTTGACGAATTGGCACCAAACTTCACACAAACCATCATTGAATAATCCTTAATAATGCCTGAAAGTTTCATTACAATCTGTAGAGCGGTTTCAGAATCCATAAAGGACAAACAAACAAACAAACAAACATACATACAAAAAAACATACATTGGATTTTATATAGACTAGTAATCTATACAGGGTGATTGATATAAGTGTGCCACCCGTTTTATTCGAAAACCATAAGAGATATCAAAAAAAGTTAAATAGTAAGTGCCTTGGACTTTTTATTAAAAAAATTGTAGTAAAGTCGAAAAAAATTATTTTAGCCGCCATTTTTCCAATATGGCCGCCAACTTTGATTTTTCTTATGGAACACCCTGTATTTTATGATGTATTCTGGTAGAAAATGTAATTTTAAGACGATTTTATTCTTGTATTTTTTTTCCTAAACCTAACCGTTTCAAAGATAATAATGGTTTAAGTTGTAAAATTTTGAATGGTTTTCGAATAAAACAGCTAGCATGCTTGCTTAGGCCTTTATCGAAACTCTTTCTCATGCAGAAATTTCAAAACTTTAACCATTATTATCTTTGAAACGGTTAGGTTTATGAAGAAAATTACAAGAATAAAATCGTCTTAAAATTACATTTTCTACCAGAATACATCATAAAATACAGGGTGTTCAATAATAAAAATCAAAGTTGGCGGCCATATTGGAAAAATGGCGGCTAAAATAATTTTTTTGACTTGACTAAAATTGTTTAAATAAAAAATCCAAGGCACTTACCATTTAACTTTTTCTGATATCTCTTATAGTTTTCGAATAAAACGGGTGGCACACTTATATCAATCACCATGTATATTACTATAGAGTACACTAGTACAAACAGTAAATATTTACTTAATAATAAATCAATTTTAAACAAAGTTAAAACATATGTTGTAAGGGATTTTGGAAAAATATATAAAAATTAATATTAGAAAAATTAATCTTTTGAATTTTGGATATTTACAGTGTTGTTCTTGTTGTAATTATTTTCAGTAATTCCGAGTTTATAATTGGGCCGTCTTCATTATTTAACAAATAATTTTGGTCGGGTTTTTCTATAAAATAATATTCCCACGCATTAAGATGTTGAGGTTTTATAATTTGTTTTAAAAGTTTAAGGTTTCCAAAATGTAAAATATGCCCTGTATTAATGGCTGTTATATGGCCTGTATGTGGCTAGCAAGGGCTGACTTTTTAGGTCTTCTGTATTTTGAATGAGCTTGGTGTTCTTTGAATCTTGTTTGGATTTTTCTTTTTGTTTGGCTGATATATGTCATTTTACAATCATTACAATTAATTTAATAAATTCCAGACATGTCAAATTTTTATAGATTTCCGTTGGGAATGCCTAATTTTGATTTCAGTAGCTTAATAGGTCTGAAGGTTAAATTTTGTGACGTTTTATTTTTTTAAATGCTCCTAATGTTACTTGCAAATTTTAAGTTGTACGTTATACTATTCCAATTCTTTCCTTTTTTCTTTTCTGAAATTTGGGCAGTTCTCAAATTTTTCAGTCTTTTTATTTTAGCTTTTCTTAACATGTTGTCTATTAATTTTGTAGCGTAACCATTAAACGTTGCTTCATTTTTTATATATTTTAGTTCCTTGTCAAATCTTTCTTCATTTAAATGTGTATTGAGTAATCTATGAATTAGTGAATGGAAAACAGCCCTCTTCTGAAATGGTGGATGGTTTGAGTCGTTGGTTATATCCATCTGTATGAGTCATTTTTCTGTACATGTGAAAATTCGAGTTTATTTATTGCTTTAACTACCATCACATCTAAAAATGGGAGTTTTCCATCTAATTCTGTTTCTGTAGTGAACTTTATTGATGGATATACTCCGTTGATTTGGACGGTAAATATTTTTATATCTTGATTTTTGTCAAAGACAGCAAATATGTAATTAAAAAATTCTGGGATAATATGGTAATGATTGTTTTGCTAAAATTTCAAAATGGCTCATAATATCAATTAGCAACAAAACATAAAAGAGGATTTCTTTTTCTATACCAAAGAAATCACTTAACTTGCATGAATTTTACCGTTGATCTAAATAATGAAAATCAAAAAAGGTCATAATATCTGTATGGGGCAGAACATTTTTTTATTGGTTGAAGAGAGTAAGTTTAGCATTCTACATTAAGATGAAAGCAAAAAGAAGATGAATTTCCGTTAATAATCCACAAACAACAATTAACAGATCCTACAATTGAGTTTTGGTAATTCTGAGCAATTACTTGGTCAACCCCAATTTTTTTCATACTTTACTACGGTCATCAGGATGTTCTTATAAAACAAGAAACATATAATTTAAGCCCCGCAAGGCCATCGTACAGGTTGCAGAGTGATAAGAACTTTTAAATTCCAAGCGATAACAGTGGCTTGCAGGAGACGCGCGGAAGGCCAGTTGGATGAGGACAAAGAACCTGGCGATTACTGAGGTAATTTCTATTTGTATATAACATATATTAACTTTCCCGGGCTGAATTATGGTTTTTTTAGTTTCACATACATCTCTAAAGCCAGTTGCGACAGTACCGTTATGTTTGGTTAGGTTAGGTTAGGTAAGGTTAGGTTAATTCATAACCTAACTTAATCTAACCTTACCTAACCTAACTTAACCTTGCGGGGCTTAAATTATATTTTTATTGTTTTCTAAGAACATCCTGATGACCGTAGTAAAGTATGAAAAAAATTGGGGTTGACCAAGTAATTGCTCAGAATTACCTGAGTTTTTAGTAATCTATTGGTTTGATCGAGTGTGAAATTTTAAAAGACAATTAAACATCGAAACGTATTTTAAGTTTGTAAAAATATGTATCAACTAAGTGAAATATATATATTTTTTCATTTATATAAGGTTATTCATTTTAATATGTTGTACAAGCGTTTTCTCTAAGCTGTTTGCTTTAAGTTAAAAAAAATCATGAACACAGGCATATTCACTATTCAGTAGTAATGGAGATCTTCGATCAAGTTCAAAAGCAAATCGTCTAGGGTGCTTTTGAAAATTGTAAATCATTTTAAGATTTTTTGGAACATACACTAAGTAAAAAAGAGCAATAATAACTACTACAGCTGATCAAATAAGGTGTTGATAAACACAATATAATGGCGTGAGAAGAACAATTCAACAGTTTTATCGATGTTGCACACCTGGCTGCCAACATGGCGGAGGAAACTTTATCTGGGAGAGAATGACGTGACGATAATACATTTAGCAATGTTATCGATTACTAATCTAATTTTAGTCTCCTTTGCCTACGTTTTCTTAGAGTAAACATTATTTAAACTGTGATACCTGTCATGTACCTTTGCAAAAGAAATTGCTTCCGAAAACAATATGAAAGGATTTACAGCAATTCAAATGTATTTGAAATAAATATTCACCATTATTTGACAAAGTGAAAAAAATAATTGAAACATTCTTTAGAAATGGTTCTGCAATAAGGTGTTTAAGCATGGCTTTTATATTTATAAATATAAAAAGACTGTATCACGATTTCTTATCTATAGCTTAAGCTTATTTCTGACTTACCTATCTAGGTTTTAACATGTGGCAAAAAATCATTAATTTTTTTCATAAGACTACAACTTTTTTCACTATCTATTCTGTGTAGGATGCGACACGTGTGTAGTCCGTTAGAGTAAGTTCGATACACATAATTAAAATATAACTATCACATGCCATCGCTAATTACAACACTTCCTTCATCACAGTAGGTAAATCTAAAATTAAATTGTAAGCTAGTTTTAAAATACTTTCCTCTATCTACAGACTCTTGCCTTCTATTTCCTCCCTTTACTTTTGTTACCTTCGGTCGGTTGTTTGGGCTAAGAAACAGCTGTCTTAGGGAGTACATTTTCTGCATGAAGCATCACTCATTCCTAGGTGAATTTATATTTGAGTTAAAATGACTTTTTTGTTGATACAAAAATTAGTAATGTATACTAATTACAATAGTGTAAACTTAGTTAGATAAACACTTTCTAAGACTATCCATTGTCCCCTATGTCACTAGAATCTGTCTGAAGGGTTAAAGTTGAAATATATTATTTCAAGTACTACAACTATAAATATTACTTTAGATTTTAGCATAAATTATAAAGTAAACTATCTAGATATATATGCTAGTAACCATGTTATAAAACGTATTACTCTAATAAGACCTTGCACTTACTAATTCGAGTCTCACATATTTAATTTAGTCTTTACTACACAGGTCTTATTCATCCTTTTCCGACATATTGTAGCAATATAAAAGAAAACATGCAACGCATTAAATCCAGAAAACATGTAAAAAATATAGGAACAATTAATTAAGATAACAATGATACACCTTTTAATAGAAAAAAAGACATACACATATTTATTTGCTAGAGCGAACATCATTACTTGGCAATATGTCATCGTTGATCAAAAGTAACAGTTAGTGATGTATTGGTTCTA